CATCACTTCTTGTAGTTGTGGAAGTAACTTTAGTTTGTAAATAATCAGGGCAATATCTCTTATTGAGAATTTATTGTGTTTTATTCTTCTTATAGTTCATGAAACAAGTGTATTATATTTTATTTTAACTTACATAATAAAACACAAGTTACATTCTGAGAAAAATATTAAAAAAATTTAAATTAACGAAATGTTCGTTAATGATTAGATACCATAAGTGCAAATTTCACTATTCTTGATGAAGTCTAAATCGGTTTTTGGACCGAAAATTGATCTGATAGATTTAATACCATAAGAAATCATAGTTGGTCTTTCTAAACCAAATCCCCAAGCAATAACAGTAATATCTTCTGGTACTCCCATTGTTCTTAACATTTCTGGTCTAAACACACCTGAATTACCAACTTCAACGAATTTTCCTAATCCAGGATGATAGGCAAATATTTCCATTGATGGTTCAGTATATGGATTGTATGCAGGTTTAAATCTAACATCAGGCAATCCCATCTTAGTGAAGAATTCTCTAATAACAGCAATTAATTGAGGTAATCCAATATTTCTATCAGCAATAAATCCTTCAATTTGATGGAACTCAGCTAAGTGAGTTTGATCTACAGTTTCATTTCTGAAAACTCTGTCGATAGAAAAACATTTTATTGGTTTGAATGGTTCTCCTTTAGCAATAGCATCAGCAGCTAATTTAGCAAGTGTTCTGCTGCTAACAGCTGTTGTGTGTGTTCTTAAAATAGTTTTTTGAGCTTCTTCAACTTTCCAATCAGATCTCCATCCAATTGATCCAAAATCACCAGTTGTATGAACTTTCTTAACTTTTGCAACATAATCAGGATTCATATCAGCTGATGATGTTGTTGCTGGTTCACTTAAGAAGAATGTGTCTTGGGCATCACGTGCTGGATGTTGTTGTGGTTGATATAAAGAATCAAAATTCCAAAATGAACTTTCAACATACATATCAGTTTTCATTTCTTCAAAACCCATTTCTAAGAATATATTTTTGAAATTCATTCTAACTTTTGATAATTGATGTCTTGAACCTCCTTTTGGATATACTCCAAGTGCATTAAAATTATATTCCTTCCAATTTGCATCTTTCCAACTTCCATTTAATAACATTTCTGCAGTTAAATTAGCAACTGGTTTAGATCTTTTATTAAAAGAAGGACCTTGTTTTAATATATAATCAGTAATAGTCTCTTGTCTTAAAAACTTTCTTCTTTTGAAAATAACCTCTTCATTCTTTGTAGCAACTCTTCCACCAAGAACTTCTTTAAGTGATTTTTGAATTGAATCTTCAAAAGTATCAACAATCCTAATTAAATTAGGTCCATTAATCTTTATTAATTTTAATTTCATTGCCTCAGCAAATCCAGTTCTGTAAAATGGTAAATGTTCAACTTCAGCTTTAGGTGTTCCTTCTTTTTTAATTAAATTAAATAATCTAAATTCTTCTGACCCATTCTTTAAAACATCTTCAGCATTTGCTGAAACAGTTTGTTTAGTTACTTTCTTCATCTCTGAAATAATAATACCGGCGGCGTCAAGTGATCTAATTGCACCAATAAAACTATTGTCATACGCAAGTTTATTTTTTTCAGCGAACTCATAAGCAGATTCAATTTGTGGTTCTTTTTCAAGACTAGAAAGGATGAGATCTTTTGCTGACATAATTCTTTTCTCGTAAGATGAAGTTCAATCTTTTTTTTAGGGTTTTTTTCATTTTTTCATAAAAAAGTCATTAATAATCATTTATGTGGCACCATGTATTTTTGATATTTTTAATTAAATGTTATTTATAACAAAGTATTGAATAAACAAGAAGAACAAATAAATGATAAAGAAATGAAAGGAATACCAAGTACAACACAAAGACATTTCTACGAATTATTTAAAAGCTGTGGTGAAGAAGAGGTTATTAAAAGATTAGAAGAATTAAAAATAATCCAAATGAAAAAGAAGTCAGTTGCATTAAGAGGTAAAGAATATGAAATAAGTAAACCAATAACTATGAAAATAGGAACTTCTATAGACCAATCAAATAATATTGAAATATCAGGAATAGGTGAAATTAATAATTATTTAGAAAGTGGAATACATGGAGAAATTGCAATGACAACAAGAATTCAAGGAGGAAAACTGACAATACCTAAACCATCATTTAATATAGAAATTCCTTATTATTTTAATAAAGAGATGCATTTGTTTTCGATGGGTATGTGTCATGAAGAATATGAAGAAACATTTCCGTTTGTTCATGAAGAGAACAATATGTGTACAGAAATTAAATACCAGAGAGAATACTTGAGTGTTACATTTAGAGAAAGGTGTAATAAAACTACGGCAAAAGCAGATAACAGTTTAGAAGGAATTCCACATGAAATAATTGATGGAAGTAATAAGATGGAATATAGTATTGAAACAACACTAAAAGGAAAGAAGAAGAGGAAATGGATTCACTTAGAGTATTTAATTAAAAATATGATTGGAGTATATAATGAGAGTTTATTTATGAAGCCAAACATAATAATGAAATTTATTACAGATGAATGGAGAAGATGTTGGTTAACAAGCCAAATGCATGTTGGAATGATTGTTTGTTAATAGTATAATTATATATTTAATTAAGATAAACGTAAGACTAAAAGAAAAAAAATTAAAGAATAGATAAGTCCAAAATGGGTTAGAATGTCAGAATATTATTATTTAGGAGGAAATGAATTAAGAGGATTTAGAAATAGAGGATGTCATGGAGACAAAAAAGAAAAACATTTAGGAGGAGATTTTATTGCAACATTTCAAGAAATGATTCATTATAGACTTCCAATTGGAACAAATACTAGTATCTTTGGATATCTAAATTTTGGATTATTATCATTTGCAAAAATACAAGGAAAAAAATGTTTTGATTGTATTAATTCTAGTTGTGGAGTTGGGGTTTCTTTAAATAATATTGAATTTAATTTTACATACCCATTATTATATAAAGAATATGATGAAAAGATGTCATTCCAAATAACCACTTCATTTTAAAAGGTGATTATGAAAATATTATTAAATTCAAAAAAAAAGCAATTGATTCATTTTATGGAAAAATATAAGGTTAGTTTTAATTATCAATAATGTCTTTTTGTTATCCTTAAAAATGTTTGATTAAATTATTTTTATTTAGGTTACATTATATTTTTAATTATCTGATATGATTGGGTTATTAATGACTCATTGTTCTTAACCATTTTATTCTTCTTATTGAGTTTTATTTAATGTGATAGTAGTAAATATTATACCTGTTATATTATCAATAAATGGATTAATACATAAAGAGTATGTAAGAAGAATAAAATCAATAAAATTACAATTAGAATTCCCCCAAATCCTACGAACAATAATTATCAACAATATGAAAGACTTAATGTTCTACACATTCAATTCTGGCAACACATTATAAGAAGATCAATCGAATTATCATATAATATAAAAATAATTATAAATTAGAAGTAAAAACACATTGAAGAAATTGAAATAATCACTTCTCACCAAAAAGTCAGATAAAATGGCTTTTATCTGACTTTTTTTGTTGATTCTTTTATAATACCTCAAACAAATACACAGTGATAGATAAATAAAAAATGTAAGTAACAAGTAAAATAAATTAAATAGAAATTAAAGAGTAATTCTAATTAAGAGTTTTGTAAATTAATTCAGAAGTTATATTGATACGAAGCAATGAGACAATACCACTAATTTTTACAATTCTATTTTTCAGAAGAACATTATTTTTCAAAGAGAAAAAGAACCACCAAACAAACAAAAAACCAATCACTTATCTTCAAAATAACTGAAAGCATTTGATGGAGGAAGAACAAATGCTTCAAATTGATGATAGATTTGACACTTCATTAACCCTTTATAAACCATATTGGCTACAATAAATTCTAATTCAGTTTTAGAACAAGTTTTACCAAACACACTAAGGGCTTTTTGAAAAGCAGAATAAAGGATTTTATTTGTATTTAAAGATTTTTGTACTAAATCAAAGAGATTTCGATAAACAATAAGTTTTAAAGACTCCACCAATAAGAATAATCCATGATGAATAAAGAATGCTTCATGCTTTCTTATTTCATTTTCATATAATACTACATCACCTCTTTCGACTGAAAGAATTAAATTAGTAAATTCTTCTTCTAAGTGGTGAGTAGAAAGAAGTTGTTGAGGGGGATATTCTCCTTTTCTTAAATGTAAGACAATTAATGGAATTAATGTTTTTCTGTAATTAGGTGAATCAACTGGAATATAATTGATTGCTTCAGTTAAATGAGTAAGGGCATCACTTGGTTTGTTTTTGATAAGCATTGTCATTCCAGCATAATAATGGTACATACAATACATGCTACGAGTTGTGTCTTCTTTAATAAGATGTTGTGCTGAAGAAAGAAAGTCGTCCATTTGACTAAAAATATGAAGATAATTAAATAAGTGAAATGCTGAAGCAATGACAGAATATGTTGAATTGTTTGCATTTAAATTAACAACAGATAACAATGACCTAAATGTGTCTAAAGTTTTTGTGATTATATCTTCACTTCCATCTTTTCCTAAAACCTTTACTAATTCAATTGTTGATAGTACTAATTGCAAGACAGAATCATTTAACTTTTTACTGTATTGGCTTGGTACAATTCCTTCATGAGAATTAGCCTTAACAAGGTCAACAGCTTTATCAACTTCTAATGACCATCTTTCTCTTTCAACCACAGACATTGTTTGTTTTTCCCTTTTTTTCTGTTTTTTTTTTTATTTTTCTTATAGTTAATGATAAACTTATTAGTTTTTTTAGTTAATAACAAAAACAAAAATATAAATACTAAAATAATTATTAATATTTTGTTATATAAAACAATAAAATTTAGTATGTTATTTATGATGGAAGTTAAACATACTCATTGAACGGGTCATATCATTATTGTTATCGTCTTGTTCACTTGTTGTTTCTTGTGAACTTTCATCATCGTCATCACAAAGGTTAACTGCACTACTTCTTCTTTCAACAATTTCAATATTTTGGTCAATTACTTGATTAGTATTAACACAGTCAAATGAATAGAATGTGTTATCTCCAGTCCAATCTTCATCCTTAATTAAGGTATTGTTTCTATCAACATCAATATCAAAATAGCCAGTGTCTAATTCATTTTCTAATTCGGGAACGAATATATCTTCTCTACTTTCACTCAATAAACTATCAAATGAAATTGGTTTCATCCATTTGTGATTTTTTATTTCATCTATACTTTTAGCTCCTAGACGTTGATTATAATCAACAGTAAGTAATCCATTAACAAAATCTTTACACTCTTCACTAATATTGACGTCTTCAGGCCAATCATATATCCCTTCTTTAATTAATTCAAAGATTTGATTTGGTGAATCACAATGAAATGGAGGTATTCCTAAAAGCATTTCATAAACCATACACCCTAAACTAAAATAATCACTTGCTTGACAATAGTAATAATCTCTTAATGATTCTGGAGCTACATAGTCAGGTGTACATAATAATCTAGATTCTTTAATTCCATGTTGTTCATTACATAACCCAACAACTGATAACCCAAAATCAGTTAATAATAAATGACCATTTTTATCAATTAACACATTATCAGGTTTAAGGTCTCTATGAATACACCCTAACGAATGAATATATTCCAATGCTAAAACAATTTCAGCAGTATATATTCTTACTACACTTTCTTCAAGATAATTAAGATTTCTTAAAATACATCTTAAATCTCCTCCAGGACAATATTCCATTACAAGAAACAAATTACTACTATCTTGAAATGCATAATACAATTTAACAACACTCCTAGTATTAGATAATTGTAAAATTTTCTTCTCTGCTAAAACACCATCAATAACATTTTTTCTTTTCATATCTGATTTCTTACTTACTTTCATTGCATAAACATCTCCAGTAGTTTTCTTTTTTACAAGATATAATTTTGAGTATGCCCCTTCACTGAATTTTTTAATAACCTCAAAATCATCTAATCCAACTTGTTGCCATTTTGATTGAGGATCTTCAATTACTAATTCATTACTAACAACAGAAAGAAATTCCCACATGTTACCATTCTCTCCATAATCACCTTTTAATATATTAATGAACATTTGTCTTCTTAATTTAATTAATTTAATTACAATAAGTGCGAATGTTTTATAACAAACATCATTTTTTTGATTAATACTTCGTTCTAATAATTGTTCTGCGTCATTCATATAATCAATATTATTTTGATTAATAACTTCGATTTGTGAACATTTTAAAGCTTTTTCTGCAAGACAAGAATATTCAATACTTCCTTTGTGATATCTTTTTTGTTTATTAATCTCTTCAGCAATAGCCAATAATCTTGTTTTACAAGTAGTTTGTTTAAGACAAATTTCATTGCATAACTTACAATAATAAGAATGTTTAGTTAATTCATCAACATAATAAGTATTATTACATAACCGACATTGGGTAGTAATTTGAGATGTTAAATTTCTTGGACTTGTTTGTGATGATGAACAAGAAGACTTTGGTTGAAGACTATATCTTCCTAAAGGAGAGGTACATAATTTAGGTACATTTGGACGCATTCCACTTAATTCACGTATTTCTTTAAAGATTTGAAGAAACCTAAAAAGTAGAGGGTCATCTCCAAATTGCACAATTTTACTATTATAATAATCAATGAGAGACGTAGATGATAAATCGACTGATTGAATTTGTTTAAATTGTTTTAATACCATTACAAGGCTTTCTTTATCTGGTTGGTGTTCATACGATTCAATTATTTTATCTGCTTCATCTTTCAAACAATTTACTCTTGAAATAAGAAATTCTGTACTTCTTCGAGGAGTAACAGGTTTATTTTCTTTAGTTGATTGTATTGGTGTGCTAAGTTCATCAACTCCAAGTAATGTATATTTTTTTGTCATTCTTTGTTGTTTTTGTGGGGATGGTTTAAAACAAATAACTGCATTAAGAGCAACAAGCCATTGATTAAGTGTTGTCTCATCAGTACAAGAAAAATTAAAGGATTGACGTTCTTTAGTAGTAATTTTAATAACTAATCCATTTGTTGATAGAATAGCGCCTGATAATGAAACGATACAACGTGGTTGTTCTAGTCTTACCATACTTTTTTCACTAACAAAATAAAATAAATATGAATTTTTTACTACTACAAAACGTTCTTTCCATCGTTTTAAAAGATATCCTTCTTTCATTAACACACCTGACATTTGAGGGTGATGTAAAGACATACACTGTGATATTTGATGATTTTCACGAAAGAATTCTTTTACATAAATTGAATCAAAAAATTTATCAAGACAAATAACTTCTTGTAAATATTGTGTTATTTCTTCATTATGTAATGGATAAAAAGATTTCTTTGGTAAATAAGGTGCAGTTATTCCATATACTGCTGTAACATATTTATCTAATTCATTTAATTCATGCATAAATTTATGTAATACAATATGTGTTTTTGGTAAATTAATATTTATGATATGAACTATTGATGTAGTTAATGTTAATTGATCAAAATATAATTCACTGATAACACTTTCGATACTAACTTCTTTAAGTTCATCATTCGGTAACGAACTAAGAATAGATTCTCTTCGAGGGGTTGAAGAACTACTACCAATAGGTGTAAATGTGATACAATCTGAATTGAAAATACTTTTCTTTTTCTTACTTAATTTAGTTGGTGTTGTGGTTTCATTGAGTAATGACATAGTAATACAAATTTTTGATTTTAAGTTCAACTTTTTTTCTATTTTCATTCTTTCAATCACATTATTCTTTTTTTAGATTATTTTGTTTCATGTTTTACAAAGTTTTACTTTTGTCTTATTCATTTTTGTTATATATAACGATAAATAATACACATTTTTAATCAATTTAGATTCTCAAAATCAAATTCACTCAAATTAGGTTTGATTTTTGGGATTTCTAATGCCTTTGATTTATCCCAATCATTATAGAGTTTGAATGCTTTTTCATATTCAGCAAATGCTGCTTGGCAATAGACCTTCTTCATGACTAATAATTTATTTGTATCTCCATCACAAACCAAACGAATAGAAGTTATCTTTTCATCAATAGAAGCTAAAACAAACCGATCAATATCTTCACCATTAACACCAAAAGAAGCTTGTCTTTTATATACGTCAATTTCTGTTTTATCAAAACGAGCCCAATTAAGATGGGATCTTCTTGTAAAAAGAAATTTATATAAAATGAAATGATGAAAGGCTTGACGGACATAATAATTCCAATGAGTAAATAATGTAAAGAACCATTTTTTTGTAAGAAATTCAACAAATAATTTAATTCTTGACTCTCCAATAAAATAATAAGATGAATTAAATAACATAATGATAGTTGATGTAATTAATTGAAAATGATCTGTTTCAAATATCTTGTCTAATGCTCCAATAAAAGAGTCAAGAATAAAATCAGTTGTACAAAATCTCTGATGTTCAATTAAAGTATTTATCCATTTTGTGAATGACTCAATCATAAAGTCACATTGTTCAATATTATAAACATTAGTATTATGAATAATTTTAATAATCATATAATCTAAGATAAAAGGATAATGTAATAACACACATCTTTTATCATTTTCTCTCATTAATAATGAAGAGTGTTCACTAATCTTTTCAATCCGTTGTTTAACATAAACTTCAATAAGTTCTTTTAATCCAAATATTTCTCCATATAATTCAAAGTCATATCCTTTTAATGAATAATATACAAATTGTCCATAGTAATAAAAAAATGTCATAAAAAAATCACTGGTTGGTAAAAACAATTCCATCCAATTCTTTTTTAATGAAAAATATTGTTCTTGTATATTATTTTCATCTTCATCTAATAAATCAAACATATCATCAAATCCAAATACTCTTGGAAATTGTTTTTTAATTTCTTTCATTTCATCATTATTTTGACATTTCTTTAAACCCAATTCAACAATATTATCGTCTCTTATTAATTGTAATAATTCTAATCTAAATTCTGGTATTTGAAAAAATGTGTATGCAATATATTGTGGAAAGAACTGAACAAATATTGGAGAAACATTATTCTCAAAAAAGAATTGATCTTCTGCTCCAATTTCAACTCCAAAATGAGCAGATAAACGTTTTTGTTTCTTTGTCATATTTTCATCTTTTGTTTTTCTTACTTCTTCTAATGGTTTTACTAATACCTTTGATAATACAGATAATCTTTTTTGTTCATTAAGTGTCATTAATAACGAATTTTCTTCATCATGTGAAGTTTCATTAAAATCATCTCTATTTATTACTCGTGGTGATCCAACTCCACTTTCTCCATCACCTATTTGAGAAGGATGAAATTCTTTATTACCTTCTCTTGGTGAAATAGCACTTTGAGGTAATGCATCTTTAATCATAATATCAACCTTTTTTCTTTTTTTTTCTGGAGTTTTATCTAATCCTTTAGAATCTTTATCTTTAGTATCCTTTTTCTTTTCTTTTTTTTCTGTTTTAAGAGGCTTTAGACGAATTTCCATTGAGCCATATAGAATTAATTGTTTTTCATTCATTAAATTATTCATTGCGTAGAACGTATCATATAATAAAAATTTAACTTCTTTTGCTTTTTCAATAAACAGACTTTTATTAGAATCAGTCATAGCAGGATTATTAATAATAAGATGATGTGGTTGTATCTCACTCCTAATCTCATATTAATATTTTTGATAAACATATAATATTGTTGAAAGAATACAAACCTTAATAATATTACAATTAACAACTTATAGAATACATTAGGTAATAATAATTGATCTATCCCTCTTAATATATCAATTAATAATCTCCAAATATCAAAAAGATTACTTAGTATATTCATTTGGTCTTCAACATTATCAATTGGGACTTGTAAACTGAGAATGGAATGTAAAGAAATTAATTCCTTCTCTAATTTTTTTAAATAAGTTTTCATAATTGAGCCTTTTGTTGGAATTAATTTATATTCTTTTTCAAAATTTATCATTTCTTTCTTTAATTGTTCACTTATTTCATGATAACTAATTTGTCGTTTAATTGTTTTTCCCATTCAACAAATTCTTTTTAAATAATTAAGTTTTTTTCAAAATAATAAATATCTTCCTTTCTTAGTATTATTTCTTTTTGAGCTTTAACTGTTCGTTATTCCTTACGCTATTTATTTTATAATTATTTTTTATCTAAACTTTTTTGTGTTTTTGTATCTTATTTAATTATGTCTTAAAACCCGGGAAAAGTGTAGTAAGAAAAGAAATAAATGGAATGTAAGTGATAAGAAAAAAATAAAGAAAAATTAAAAGAAAAACTAAAAAAGAGAAACCAATGTTTACGCCACTTTCAAATGAATCACAGAAATATTACCATTTTGAAGTAGAAAATGATATCGCAGATAAAATAAGAAAAGGAAATCTTCGGATAAAAAAAGAAAATAATGTTATTAAATTGATATTACCAACCGAAGAAATTGTGTTAACAGCTTTAAACTCACATGAAAAGACAATATTCAAATCTCAAGAAGGTGTTGTTCCTCCTGTTTATGATAAATTATCAATTATTGGATTTTATATACAACAAAAACAAAAATCTATTCCTTTAACAAAAACAATAACATCATCTTTTTCACGTCAAACTCAACAACCTCAACAACATACACAATCTGATTTAGATAAACAAAAAGAAAAACAAAAGAGAGAAGAACTACTGAGAAAAGAAAAAGAAAAATTAACACTAACAGTGATAAATACACATGCCTCTCAAGACAAAAAAAAGTCTCAACGCCCACAAGAATCTATTACTAGTAACCAAGATGTACAGCACTCTCAAAAAGAACCTAAATCTCCAAAAGAACTTAAATCTTCTTCTCGTCATTCATTAAAACATACTATTTCTCCTACTTCATCAAAACCAACTCGTCATTCAATTCAATTAGAACTTTCTGAAACTGTTAAAAAGTTAAAAGAAATACAATCAATATTTATTGAACAATTAAACAAAGATCCATCTTCAATAGATAAAAAACACATTATCCACCTTAAAGAAAAACATTTGAAAGAATTTAATGATTTAACGAAACGGTATGAAGATTTAAGACAACAATTAAGTAATCCCTCTTATTAATAGATTAAAAAATTTTTTAGATGAAATATTTTCTTCTTTTGTGAATGGAGTTTAAAAAAAAAAACGAGAAAAATAATCTTTAAAGGGGTAAAACTAATAATAATAAGAAAAATATAATAAAATATATCTTTCACTAAGAAAAAAAAACTAACAAATGTATTGAGATATGTCAGCACAAGTGAATAAACATATCAAAGGAATTACTAAAGTCGATAATCGGACGTCTCATAAAAGTAAAAGTACTGGTACATTTAATGAACAAACAAGAAATGCTACTAGTTGTTGTTTATTTGTAAAAACAAAAGAAAATGAAACAGAAGGGGAACAATGTACGATTGAAGGAATTCCTTTGTTTGTTGAACATTCATTTCGATTTTTTGAATTATCAAGTAAAATAGAAAAAGAAGTTCCACCTGTTCCATTACAATATTTAACTTATGACACTGCATTGTTATGGGCATCAGAAAATATGTCAAAGAATTTTGTTGATTTAGTTAAGATGTATAAAATGGATGGAAATACTATTTCACGATTAAAAATGCAAGACCTAAGAAAATATAAATTCAGAATTGTAGAATGTGATACTGTTTTAAAGAAAATTAAAGCGTATTTCCATATAACTAATTTTGGAAGTTTGTTATTTATTATAATTTAAGGCATTAATGAAAGGTAATACTTATTGGATAGAACGGTTATTAAAAAATCAAGGAATTGATGACAGTGATTTACGTCAAATGTATAAATATATTGATAATCACCATAATGGTAAATTGATACCATTTAATTCAATGGATAAAAAACAAGCTTCTACTGTAGCGTTTTTAATTATTAGGAATTATTTATGTTCATTTGATGAAATTATATCAGAAACATCATTTGGAGAAATGATCAAATTTTATCATGACCATATGAGCGATGATGATGATTTATTTGTTAGATCATTTGATAAAGTACTTCAGACTTGTCTTACTCCATTACAATATAATGTTTTAATAAGAACTCTTAGATTTATGTTAGTAATAATGAATAGTAGAGGAAGTGTATTTGTTCATTTTCAAGATGTATTTAAGAAGACTATGTTTTCATTAATTAGTCCTATATCATTAGATATGGACTTCACATTTTTATTAATATTTTATTCGTTGAAATCACGTAAACCAACAAATTATATTAAAATGAATTTATTTCAATTAAACAATAAACTACTTTATGGAGAATATATTATTAAACAATTTGATGATATTCTTATATCAGATAAAACTTATACATTTCATAAACAAATGAATGATGTTTCAACAAAAGAATGGGAACGTGGACGTATTTATATAACTAATTTTCGTGTTTGGTGGGTTCCAAATAATGAAGAATGTTTTCAAAGAAATGCACGATTGCTATTATTATCATATATTCCAATAAGAAGTATTATGGAAATGAAATTATTTGATAGTAAAGAAGATATTACAAAAGAGAAAAAAGTATGTGTAAGAATGTATGATAATCTTTTACGATTATTTATATTTGCATTTCAAAGTATACAACAATTCCAAGACTTTAGAGATGAATTACAAATGGCTAGTGTATTTGAAGATAATTATCCAATTGATGATGTGGAATGTATTTCATATGAAATACCATTTAAAAATTATGGAGAAAAAAAGATAAATAGAAATGGAATTCATATCAATTCAAATGAATTTAAAGTATTTAAAGAAGAAGAAAATGAATATGTTATTCCATATCAATTAAATAGTGTTGATGAAAATAAAGAATTACCTAATATTAGAGGGTGTATATTTTTATATAAACATTCTAATGGTTGTACAATTTGTAGATTAAGTTTATCAAAAACTGTAGACAAAGCAAAATCCTTTTTCTTATCAACAATAGATGAAGTTCAAAAAAAATATCATGCAATTTATCTTAGTCCACAAGAAAAGAATGATTCAATGATACTTAAAACAAGTGATGAAGTTAATATTATTTGGAATAAAATTGTTGATAGTGCAAAGAAATTTACTGAAACAACTAATTTTAAAGAAATAACTGCAATATTTGATGAATATATTAAATATATATCAATTGTCTTTAATAACGTTTTCTCTTTATTTGTTAAAGTTAAACTTGGAGAATCTATTATGCTTCAAACAAGAAGAGATAATGAAACAGAATTACCATTATATTCTTCATTAATTCAATTTATTACAGATAAATATTATTGGACTTATAATGGGTTTGTAGAATTAATATTTGTAGAATTTATACAAAGTAATTATTTCTTTTTTTGTAATAATGGAGAAATTTGTCCTATTCCTCATTCTTTTTTAATATTTATTAGAATTATTTCATTATTTGTTATGACTATTCCATCTGCATTTGAATTTTCACAACAACTTCTTAATTATTTAGAACTTATTTGTATGTCAGGAAGATTAAGATTTAATGAATCACGTTCACAAAGATCAATTGTTAGATTATTAGTTATGAAAAATAAATTAAAAAATCAACGCTATAACTCTTCAACAAATGTCAGTCTTATAGATATGTATAATGAGAATTTATTTAGTGTACAAAGTTTAGTATTATTATTTCTTAAATGGATGAATGTTGGAAAAAATTGTAATTTTCCTTTAAATCCTTCTATTCAAAATCTTGATTTACAAAATAAAGGAATTATTGCTTTACCTGTCCAAGAAAATTTAAAGGAATGTCATCAATTAACTCAATTAAACATAAGCCAAAATCATCTTATTACAATTCCTTCACAAATTACTGAATTATCACAATTAAAAGATTTAAATATATCAACTTGTTCTATATATTATATTCCTTATAATTGTTTCTCTCAATTAATTAATTTAACATCATTAGACATCTCTGAAACATCAGCTATTAATTCTGAATTAATCAAATTTCCTTCATTTTCGTTTCTTACTAAATTAGAATATCTTGATATTTCTAATCATTGTAAAGCATCAGGTGAATCAATATATCTTGAATTACCTTGTTCTTTACGTACATTCATTGCAAAACAAAGTCTTCAAACACTTCCTGATTTATCTAAATTAAAATGTTTAGAAAAATTAGATATTAGTGATAACAGACAATTAAAATTAAATGCCTTAGCTGAAGTATCCTCATTAAGAACTTTTATTTGTAGGAACAGAACTACTTCAACATTTCCACAACAACTATTTTCAATTAAACTTCGATACCTTGATTTATCTGGTGATAAAATTGAACGACTGCCACAAGCGTTTTATAACTGCATTACATTAGAGAGTCTTAATTTATCAAACAATCAAATATCAACATTATCTAGTCAATTATCAATGTTAAAAAATTTAAAGACATTACTTATTGATAATAATCCATTAACAAGTAAAATTACTTTAAAACCAATTCCTAATAGTATTCCAATGTCATATCCATGTTATGTTCATGTATTTTGTACAAAAGGGTTTTATTCAATATTTAAGAAAATGATTAAAATGAATAAGAAAAGTAATTTTGAATTTGTCTCAGAAATAAGTGTTAGTGCAACAAAACCACAGTTGATATTAAATTTTGTTGATGTAGAAAAAACTGTTATTCCATATGGTATGGCTAATGATGATTTGTATATTATTCATCAAGAAGTAAAAGACCAAGCTGGATTAATAACTCACCATATATTGTCAAATGAAAAGAAATATTATTTCATTGGAGAGAAAAAGATGTGTTGTTTATTAAAGAAAAGAAAGTGTAAGAAAAGTGGGACTACTGGTAGTGATGTAGAAATTATAGATGCTGGACCTTCAATGGTTGATAAATTAGTTAGTTCTATTAATTCAGAACTTAATTATAAAAGGGAAATTAGACGTATTGGAATGGAATTGTACCAAACCCAATATGAGGATGTTACATTGACCACTAAACAAATGATTCAATTGGTTAAGTTTTATAACAGTAATTGTGACCAAACAACATTAGATGAACTAAGTAATATTGGAGTAATTTTTGATTTAAAGAAGACTGAAGAAGGAATTAGTGAATGTGTTAAAAAAGGTTCAGAGTCTTGTCCAAAAGGAAGATATATTTTAAGACAAGTATTTGATAAAAAGAAGAATCTTGTGGAAAAAGAGTTATCTAGTTTCAGACCATTAAGAGAGTATTTTGAAAGATTAAATAAAATGACGAGTGACGATATTATTAATATTTGTAGAATATTGCAAACACATAATGCATTGTTTATGATTTATCCTAATTGGATTAATGAAATGGGAATTACTGCTGAATCAGAGAAAGTTATTGAAAAATTAAAAGTTCCTGTTGAACAGCCTAAAAGGAATAAATTAAATTGGAAAATTGGGGCATCAGGAACTAACAAAAGGAGCTCATTAGCAGAAACAAATTCTTTAAGCAAAAGAAGAAGTGAGTCTTTATCTCCTGATGAAGAAGGAGAACGATTGGTATCAAAAAAAGATATTTTCCCAGTTGTACTACATCCATCAATTATTAAAATGAAAGAAAATGCATGGCCTTTACATTCAAAAAATGAAATGGAAATTATGAGAGAATTTGTTTTAGGTAAGCCATGCTATTTAATGTATATGCAATTAATTGGGTATTTACTTCTTATTGGAATGGAGTTATATGATAAAATATATAACGATGCAACAATATTAAAAGATGAACGATATTCAACTACCTTTTTAATTAAAATACAATATTGTGATGGAAGAATTAGTATCAGTATTAGATATAATACTAGCTCTGTTAGTCAAGTTAAGATATCTGCTGATATAATGCAATCAATAAAAAAGGCTATCAACACTATTGCTGTAGCATCAAATAATACCTTGGAAGAATATGTTGGATGTACTGAATGTATTTTAAAAGATGAAAAGAAAATTGATGTGGTTCCTGTAAAAGAAATTAAAGAAGCAAGGAAAGCCGGAAAAACAGAAATATTATTCAATAAACAACACTCAGTTATGATTGGGACTTGTGCATTGGATGTTCTTTTAAATGAGATGGAAAATAGTTCAATCGTACCTTTATTTGAATCTAAAGATATGGATATTAAAGAAATGAAAGGGTTTGGAGGAAGTGCCAAAGTTAATAGAGTCATAGTTAGTCATAAAGAAGAAATGGCATTTAAAATGTATACATTTAATAATTACGATAAAGTATCATTAAAAGTTGGATTAGGATCAACTGCACACCTTGTTGCTTTAAAAGTTGAAGAGATGATGAAAGAATTAGAGGTATTAAAATTAACAAGAGGAAGTTCTATTAGACATACTAAATATATTCTACAACTACATGGAATTTGTTTAGAGCCTTTAGGAATACTTGTTGATTATATGGGAGAAGGCACATTACAAAATTATATTGGAGTTAAAAGTAATGAATTATCAATGACTATGGTTATAAGATTTGCTAGAAATATTAATAATGCTTTAGACGTTCTCCATTCAAGAAATATTATTCATCGAGATGTTAAAAGTCCTAATGTACTTCTCAAATTTAATCAACAACATCAATTAATTGCTATACTTAGTGACTTTGGACTTTCTGGTCCTTATGATGAAAATGAACATTGTATGGTTGAAAATCCATTATGGCTTCCACCAGAAGTACTTAATACTCATCACTTTCTTACAGCATCAGATA